AAAAAAAAATTAAAAAAAAAAAAAAAAAGAAAAGGAAGAGGTGAAGGGATTTGAAAAACCACAAATTTACATTTTATTCTTCAGGCACCTGGAAGCCTTCTGAGGTGTTAGAGAAGAATGAGGTAAATATGGTCATATTACCAAAAAATGTTAATCTTGCAATTGTGCAAAATAAACTGAAGAGAAACATCACAGGTAGGAAGTCTAGCTAAGAGGTGCTTGGAGGAAGTGATGGAACGAGAATAAATAGAAGGGATAGACACATTTTTTTCAAAAAAAATCACTACTTCATGATAACTGGCTGTATAGGAGTAAGGGGAAAAAACGATTATTGACTTCATTACTTTTGAAACCAGTAACAAACTAGAAGCTAGTTTATGGGGCAGGGGAGAGTAACAAATTGTTCGTTTTAAGGGGATAAGCAATAACATTTATCATTCAAGAGATAACAATTGAAGCCATTAAGAGTAAATGAGTTCTCCAACAGAGAAAGGACATGGCTAGCAAAAGCAGAAGTCCAAGAACTGAGTTTTTTATATGTAATAGGTTTAAGAAGGACGTTATTTCTGGGATTGGAAGATATAAGGAAAACCTGTGTAATGGAATGTTCCAATAATTAAAGAAGCTGAGAGTTCAAGAAGAATAGATGATTAAAGGATAGCCAAGACTTCAAAGAAAATAAGGATAGAAAAAGACCATTGTAGTTGCTATTTGGAGATGACTTGTAAACAGCACTGCCCAAAGAAAGGTAGCTATGAGAAGGAAGTTAACCAAGTAGAATATAGAAACACAAGTAAGTAGATATGGGATGTGCCTTCAAAAAAAAAAAAATTTTTTTTCTAGCCTGTTTTTAAAGTAGAGTTTTTATTTTTATTCTATTCTCTTCTGTGCTGATTAACCCAAACTCTTAATATTACATTTGGGTCTGTCATGGGATATGGATAAACTAAAGTGCCTTGAGTAGAGAAAGACTCAAGTGAGCAGGAAGTTACACAGGTCACCTAGGGGATGGGGGTGACATATAAGGAAAACAATGAGAACTCTTTTCAAATGTATGAAGGTTCATCGTGGATTAGAATATTTTGTGTGGCCCTAGGAAAGTAAGAGCAGTGAACGGAAGGTATAAAATAACAAATTTTATCTCAGTAGTAAAGGTAAGTGAGGTGCCCAAAGGAGATTAAGCATGAGTTTAAGGCCACATGATCATTCGATGGTAATGCTACAGTGAAGACTCTGAAAACACCTGAGTAATTGGAATATATTAATTTCATGGTTTTTTCCAAACAGACTTCCTAAAAGTCTATAATTCAAAGTATGAAAGTATGAAATTATTTGAACTAACTATATATCTTCCAAGGAAACTTTTCCCAGGGACATGTTGATTCTTTTGGAGAAGTATGATGAAAAAACAGTGAAAAACCAGACTTTACTCTCTGCTCAAAGTATAAAGTGTTTCATAAATTTTTTAAGCTACTCAACCACAATCTTAAGAGAGTATCTCCACAGCTTCTAGTATAATCCAAATCATTAAAGGGATGTCTTATCTATGCTCACAGACCTCCCACAAGCATAGAAGCCTATTTTAATTTTGGAGGTCACAGAATCCTCAAGCCTTCCATGAGCTGACAAATTTAGCAGAACTAAATTGTGTTGGGAGAGGGAAGAGAATAGGGAGGACAGATATTCAACATGGAATTTTTGTAAGTTTATTTTTATGTCTCTGAAAAATATGCATTTAGAGATTTTACCAGGCTTAGCCGATTTGTCTCTTATACACATTATGATGCTATAAAGGAAAATTTGTGACCAGAAGATTTTTCACATCATTAAAAGCATTTAAATTTTCATCATCCTCATGTCATTTTTTCAATAGCACTCTCCAGTCCATCTGGCAGCTAAGTAGGAGGTTTTAGAAGGCTTTGACAAATGGAGCTTCTCTCAGATTTCTGCTAAGAATCAGGGACCCCTGTCAAGGCAACTACTAAAAAAATAGCAGATAGACCAGCAACCTAGCTCAGCGGACTCCATGTCTATGTGTATAGCCCACTAAACCAAGGATTTGGAAGAGATGGATCTATAGAAACTGTCATACCTTCTAACTTAAGGTCAAACAAACATTTTCACTCTCACTAGATATTTGAAGGTAAGTATATCATACAACAGAATACTACAACTATGAAAATTTTGTGAACCATTCTCTAAAGGCCACTGAAATATACGTCAATTTAAAACAATTGTTAACCCTCCCTTAAAGATACCAGTGTGAAAATCTTAAAGGACCCTAGCAAAAAGTAAGAGAAAAAGAAAAGCTATGAAAATGATATGTTTAGGTTTGGCACCCATGGCACAGTGCTTACGGCTGGCGGGTTCAAGCCCAGCCCAGGCCAGCTAAACAACAATGACAACTGCAACCAAAAAAAAAAAAAAAAAAAATCTCCTGGCATTGTGGCGGGTGCCTGTGGACCCAGCTACTTGGGAGGCTGAGGCAAGAGAATTGCTTAAGCCCAAGAATTTGAGGTTGCTGTGAGCTGTGACACCACCACACTCTACTGAGAGCAACATAGTGAGACTCCATCTTAAAAAAAAAAAAAAATGTAGGCTCGGCGCCTGTGGCTCAAGCGGCTAAGGCGCCAGCCACATACACCTAAGGTGGCGAGTTCGAATCCAGCCCGGACCCTCCAAACAACAATAATGGCTGCAACCAAAAAATAGCCGGGCGTTGTGGTGGGCGCCTGTGGTCCCAGCTACTTGAGAGGCTGAGGCAGGAGACTCGCTTGAGCCCAGGAGTTGGAGGTTGCTGTGAGCATGGAAGGCATGGCACTCTACCCAGGGGCTCAGCTTCAGGCTCTGTCTCAAAAAAAAAGGCACAATTTACCAGAATTAATGGCAGTAAATTTTGTTTTACAAATAAGCTAATATAAAACATCAAATGTCCTGTTTACAAGAATTAATGTAAATCGTTCAGTTAGTTATTTTAAGTTTAGGAGCAGAACATGGAAGGAAAACAGAAAAGTGAGTTTAGAGAGAACAAAGCCAAATAATAAACATAACAGACTGGGAAGTAAATAATTTATGTAAAATTGGTTAGTGTGGCTTTCATCCCAATTAAATACTTCCTGTGTTAGTAATGTATTAAAAATACAGTTTCCCATTTGCCTCCAAATAGCTCTCACCCTAGCTTATAAATGAAATATCTAGGATGTGAATACAGGGAACTGGTAAACGGGACAAGACATACAAGGAAAAAACAGTATCCAAAGCAGCAAATGGATAAAATGAAAAATTGTTCAAAATATTCAGTTTTAGTTTTGATAAAATTCCATTACTCTCCCCCCTTAAGACAAATAGAAATAGGAAAAAAAAAAAAAAAAAAACCTGGCATTCCTGTACTCTTCCTGGGAGGTCCCAAAGTGATTCTGAAGAAATGTAAGCCTATTTTCCCAGTGCTTAAGGAATAAAACACACTCTCATCCATCATCAACCAGAAGCCTGAGCACCTGCCAGGTCTCGGAAGTCAAATCTAAGAGATGTTACACGACAGATCACATACACTGTAATCCAGATCACAATAAATATTTAAATATGAAGTTTCTCTTCAAAAATTAAAAATGCACAGTGTTAACTTCATGTGAATCTCCCCATTTCTTAATCCATGTTCATAGAAACATACATGTAAATACAGGCATGTGTAAGGAATTTTTTCTAAAAATGGGGTCAAACTATATACATAATTCTGCAATTGGATTTCATCACCTAACAATGCATCATGGATATCCCTTTAGTCCATAGACTTCAATCTAAAACATTTAATAACAGAGCATCCAGTAGTGTAAATGAATTACCACTTATTCAACTATTTCCTTAAAGGTGGACATCTAGCTTGTTTCCAGCTTCTAGCCTTTGGCTAAATAGTGCTGCCATTGTCAGTGATGTAGAAATGAACATCTTTATATATGATGAGGATTTGATTTCTCTA